AAATGACGAAAGGAAAATACTGTAAACAATAAAAGCAAGAGAAATGGTGCTTCACTAAAAGCCCCAAATGGGAAATTCCTTTTGTAACATTCCTCTGTAGAGTCAGGTATGAGATTTTAAAGCATGTTTTACATTTCCTTGAATTCCTTTTTACTTATTCTTTAGAGACATATAGGTTTTAACAATCTGAGGAGTCAAGATCGTCTCTAAGACAGCTCCTGTGTGGAAACCTCCTCCCCTAAATGAGCTTGAAATTAGTGCTAGGACTGCACGAGGCAGCGTGGTCAGCACTCTGCTCTCACGGGGGCCTGAGCCACCCACACTGTAGGCTGCCGGCTAGAGCAGGTTCTCTTAGGTCAAACGCACCGCACCGAAGCCAAGGCTCCTACTGCCGGGAAGCTCCCTGCACCACAGAACTTCGGAACTTAATTTCACTGCGGAAGAAGGACTGCCAGGGCCTGGACGCCCCTTTCACATTCAGCACTGGGTATACAGTGTGGAGGTAAACACTGAAAGGCTATTTTTGAGTCAAAAACATGCCACTTTGGTGGAGGAACTGGAACTTCACACACTGCTGGCAGAAATATAAAATGGTGCAGCTACTATGGAAAGCAGTCTGGGGCTTCCTCAAAAAGTTAAATATAGTTACCATATGATAGCTTAGTTCCACTCCTAGGTGTATACCCAAGAGAAAGAAAACACATGTTCTCAACAGCATTATTCATAATAGCCCAAAAGTAGAACCCAAATTCCACCAACTGATGGAGTGCTAAATAAAATGTGGCATAGAACGTTGACAGAATATTTGTGCGTAAAAAGGAATGAAGTATGATACATTCTAAAACACAAACCTTCAAAACATGCTAAAAGGAGCCAAACACAAAACATGATATATGACCCTGTTTATGTGAAATGTCCAGAATAGGCAAATCCACAGAAACAGAAAATAGCTAAGAGGTAGCCTAGGCCATTGAGGGTTGGGGACAGGTAATAGGAATAAAGTTTATTTTTAGGATAATGAAAATGTTAGGGAGCTAGATAGATGCACAGCATTGTAAATACACTTAAAACCACTGAATTGTACAATTTAAAATGGTTAAAATTGTGGCTTTTATCTTGATAGAAGTAAAAGATGCCACTTTAGTTACAGAAAATGTCTAATAGTTTTATTTGTTTTGAGGTGTGGTGAAAACACACCCAGATAAATATACCTTAGATAAATCTAAGGAATTCAGAATTTTTTTGGCTACCACTTTGGAAACTGAGGTCAAAACATAAATAGGGCTGGGGATTTAGCTCAGTGGTTCTGCCGCCTGCTTTACAAGTGCAAGTTCCCAAGTTCGATCCCCGGTACCCAAAACAAAACAAAATACATAAATACACTTAAAATTTTTCATAATCATCTATACATATTATCTCCCACTACTTTTATGTACACAGAAGCAATATGAAAATAACCAGCATTTCCCCCAAACTGTATTTATCATGTCTCATGTGGTACTCTTAAGTGGTCTCATTCACTTTTTTAAAATTAATTTTATTGGTAAATTTTAGGTATTCAATATAATGACATTCATCATTGGAAATCTGCACCTTTACATAATCTCTCTTGGTTCTCGTTTTTTCCCCATTCCCATGCCCTCCCTTCAACCCTTCCAGCCCTCCCTATTTACAAAGACTTTGTTTCCATTTTTTCATTTTCTCATACTGATTCCATTCCCTTCTTTCCTTTCCCCTACCCCTCCCACCTCCCCTTCCCCTTTGCCCCTTTTCTTCCTATTTCACATTATCTATTATACCTTTTAGTCCTTATTTGCACTCAGTTTCTCACACTAGAGAAACTATTTGGTAAAATTTTCACCTGCTGTTCCTCAGACAAAGGTCTACTATCTAGAATCTAGAAAGAACTTAGTGAACACTGTTACTTCTCCAAGTAGAAAGTAAGGGAAAGGCCAGGTGAATCTCCTGAGGTCTCCTGACTTGTGAGCAGCAGATGGGTTTTGAGCTGAAAGCCTTGCTCCAGAGCATGAGCTTTTACCCAGGAGCTATTCAGCCTCCTTGCAGAGTGAATCCATCCTCATCCTTTGGAAGGAGCAAACTCCAAGAGATTAAGGCCCACAGCCACAGTTACCCAGCTGCTGAGTGGCAACACAGGTGGTGATTATGCTAAAAAGCACAGAAATGCTTTTCTGGAGGGGAAGATGAAGCCATGATTAAGAATAGGAATACAGGGGCTGTTAGCAAAGTTCTATTTCTTGACTGCATTGGGGATGACCTAGTGTTTTAAAATTATTCTTTAGTCAGGTATAGACACGTAACCCCAGTACTCTGAGAGGCTGACACTGGAGGATCACCAAGTTTGAACCTAGTCTGGGCAAGTCAGTGACTTAGATCCTGTATCAAAAACAAAAAGGGATAGGGCAGTGATGGTGAATCTTTTAGAGAATGTCACAAACAGCCCGCTGCGGCATGCATGCCATAGGTTTGCCACCACTGGGCTAGGTTATGGCTCAGTGTGGAGATCCTAGGTTCAAAGCCCAGTACTAAAGTTATTAAATCTCCTTAAAGAGATTTTTCATGACTTTTCCATGTAATCAATTATTTAAGATAAACTTGGGCCTAACAGTGTTCTGCAAATATAAGGTTGAAAGAGTGTTTAAGAATGGAAGACATTGGGAGCTTAAAGATCTGCAGGGTTTTGTGCTAGAAAGCAAGGGTCATGGAGTGAGGGTCTTTCTTTCTTTTTGGGTACCGGGGATTGAACTCAGGACCTTGGGCTTGCAAGGCAGGCAGAACCACTGAGCTAAATGCCCAGCCATGAGGTTCTTTCTAAAAGGTGCACCTTGAGAGAAGCAGGGGTAAAGGACCAGCCAACAGAGGCTGGAACAAAGGGTGCCTCCAATGTATGGTGCAAAGAAGTATGGGGGTTCTTTCCTCCCTGAGCTCCAGGTGCTTCCCAATTTAAATATACTTATTAAAAATATTTTATTTTATTCCATTCCCCCCTTCAAGTCCCCATCCATCTGTTCTGTTATGGATCTTCTGCCCTTTGGTACCACTGAAGTAACAGATTCAAGATCACTGTGCTTTTCATTTAAACACTAGTGAAACTCCAGTGTTGAAGGGTTTAATGTTTAACTGTATTAAAGACTGTTAATGAGTTCCAGTTTCCAGATCCTCCCCAAATGCTGAGCTTCCTTGGCTACTGGTGACTTCAACCAAGGTCAACCTGAGCTTATACAAAGAAACAGTAAGTCATGGAGCAAAATACAAGGCCCCCAGGGAATGAGCTGGCACTGTCTTCATCCGTGGGTGAGGGGTGGTGGCTTTGGCCTAACTTCCCGGTAGGACAGTGGGAGGGGAAAATAAGGAAGGATCCACTACAGCGGAGCTGTTTTGTGGAGTAAGTACCTGATGGTTTTGTTGCTTGGCTGCTCCAGTCAAACCTGTCCTCAACCCTTGGGGCTGAGGACAAACCAGCAATCCTGCTCAAGCTCTGTCAGAGCAGCTAGGACTGGGAGGGGCACAACAGATGCAGGGGCCCATACCCCAGAACCCTTTAGTATACAGATTTTAAAATAGCATTCTGGATTACAGATTCCAACAGAAATAGAAACATTAGATGTGTTTTGTTTTTGGTATCGAGGATTGAACTCGGACCCTTGCACTTGGCGAGGCAGACATCGGAACCACTGAACTAAATCCCTGGCCCCTGGAAATATTAGATGTGAAAAATATAACTCTTGAAATAAAACCTCCACAGAGGGGACAAACAGCATAATGGATAGTGTGGGAAGTAATTAATGAAACAGAAGACCACCTAAGAATACTGATCGTCTTCACCTTTCCACGGAGCTGCGTCCTGATCAACCCATTGTAAATTGAAAAGATCATACATCGAAGATCCACTTAATACACCTACTGAGTACCACTGCTTACCAACACAGTATGCTGCAGAGTACGAGTTGTTTATACACAAAGTGTGTGGCTAGGAGCTCTAGCTTGCTGCTCCTGCTGAGCCTGGGATTACTATGCCACATATTACTAGGCTGGGAAAAGATCAAAATTCAAAATGGGAAGTGTGGTTTCTATTGAATGCCTATCATTTCTGCACCATTATGAAGTCAAACCATTCTAAGCTGGGGACTCTTTACATTTTAATCCTTTTTGAGCAATTTTTTATTGCCTAGCCATGTTTATACAAAATTTTCTTTAGAATGGTACTCCAAACACCTAAATGATAACTACTGTTGTACAAATTAAGAAATTAATCCATTCGCATCCCTATTTTACAGTTGCTGGAAAGAGGACTGCGCGGAGCTGGAATCTCACCATGGCCTCCCAGGCATGAAAGCATAATACCTTAATTTTTAAAGACTTAAAATGGTAGCAGTTGGTGGATTCAGATGTGAAAGCCTGGCTAGACTATGTAGTATTAAGCAGTGCTGAATTATACCTTTAATGTTAACCTTTGGTCAAGCTAAAAAATAATCAATAACTTGGAGGAGACAGAGAGCACACTTAACAGTTTATGAGCCCAGATCTGTATTAGCTATTTACTGCTACACTGCAAATTACCCCCCTCCCAGCCCCCCAAACCGTGGCTTATAATAATATGGATATGTGTATGTCACGAATTCATGAGAATCTCCACTGGGCAGTTCTGGCTCAGGTATCTCAACAAGTGGAAGCCAGATGTGGCTAGGGGCTGAAGTGGGAGGGCCCACTTCAAGAGGGATTCCCTCACAAGGCTGGGAGCCAGTGTAGGCAAAATGGTTTGTCCCCTGTGGGCGGTTTCCATCTCATAGCACTGCCTGGCCTGGCCTTACCCCAGAACAGCAAGCAATCCGAGACTGCAATGTCTTATGATCTACTCTCGGAAGTCACACATTCTTTCTGTAGTTCTTTATTGGTCACACACTTTGGCTTCTTTTTCTAAAGCAGAGGATACTAATCAAGGGGTGGAAGATTAGTCAATATATAAATGACTTACAAAGATGAACTTTAAAAAAATTCAAAAGCTTTTATTTAGGGAGGGACTATACTGAAGTCACAGAAAGAGGTCAGGACTCATCTACTGAGCTGAACAGTGGCAAAAGGCTTGAGGTGACTAGAGATATAACCCAGGTGTGCTGCAAGGACCGCATGTGCAGGGCACACGGAGGCGCAGTCACATCTTCCTGATGCACTGTGCTCACTTTCATTGAAAGGGCTTAGGTGGGATATTGAGTCCACACAGATGACTTTCTTTTGGTTCTCTGCTGGGTTTTTTAGTGGTAAGGAAAGAATGCAGGGCCTCATGATGCTAAGCACATATTCTATCATCAAACTACACCCCAAGTCCGGATTATGTTTATTTATGCAGTTCCAGAGAGGTGATCTCGGGCTGCTGAAGTCATGGGCAACATTTCACTAACAGAGAAGAAAGCACGCATTAGCATTATCCACAGAGGGGTCGACATGACTCACTAATCCACTAAGGTTTCAGTTCCCAGGGGATAATCTGCTGTTTGTTAGAAAGCAGACAACCAAGCTTCTTAGAAGCACTTTGAAAAGAAACCTGCTTGAGAGGAAAGCGTATGAGGGAACTCCGGAGCCCAAGGCTTAGGCCATCCTCTGGCGATCAGCTTCTCCAGTGTCCTTGCAGGTTTCCAGGTTTCCCACACGGAGTACGGTGGGGGCAGTGGAGCTCCATAAGGGAGAGGTGCTCTTGTGTTCCTCACACAGACCTTGACACATTTCAGGGTAAGAGGCTAAGTTGCAAATAAAATGCAACTACCTAAAACTATGGATCCAATTATTATGTCATGTTTTATTTTTTTATAAGGTACTTTCAAAATTTCGCACATGATTGTTCATCTACACATAAGCAAACCAAAAAGCTTTACAGGTGATAACATTAGTGGTGGAACAGCCGAAGATCCGTATGAGCCAGGACTATTCCCAACTCGTCGCAAGCCTCAATCACAACCTTGTCAGCAGTGGAACCAGAAGGAGCTGCAATGTAGGCCACTCCGCTCTGAGGGAAAAATCAGTATTGATTTTCAAAACACAACTATATGTAAAAACCTGCAGAATTCAAAATCCCCCTCCCAAAAAGCCTAAGTCAAAAATGATTCATTCAGTCAAAAGGCAAAATAGGGGCCGTTCTCCTCAGGGCCTACACCCTATTATCTGAGTGTGTACTTTTTTAACTCTACCAAATAAATCTGTCTACTTCTCTTTTTAAAAAAAGGCAAAGTACAGTAACAAGATTTGAGTTATCCACACATCAACTGGAGAAGCCAAATAATTCTATTACTGATTTATATCACATTGTCACAGCTCTGATATATAACTCTTCACAACTCACAAATCACAAGATGAATTTCTGCAATCATTCTACATGATACTCAAGTCCATGCAAATGCACATCAGTTCCTACTTACCCTTTTAGCTCTGTCAACATTATCCCGGAAGGGAAAGAAGGCATCGGAGCTGAGGGCAACCTCATTTAATTTGTCAACCCATTCCCTCTTCTCTGCCTCAGTGAGTAATCCAGGGACTTCCTCAAACAGTGCCTTCCACTTCACCAAATCTTCATCCTGCAGGGGCAAGGCGGGGGCAGCGGGGGGAGGTTAATTCCACATCACTTTTAGTTGTACCTGATAAAATTCCCAAGCCAGAAGGCACATGGCACATTTTCTGACTTCTGAATTGTAAGTAATGAAACATCTAAGGCTCATATTTTTAGAAGATCTTTGGTTTTTTAAAAAAATACTTTCATTAAGGAAGAAAAGTAATTTTAAGTTTCCCAAATAAAAACTATCATTTGACTATCTGAATCAATTTATTCCAAATATACTTTGTTCTTGAATATCTAAGTTAAATCTATTGCTTCAAAACCTATCAAAGCAAACAGAAAATGACATTCCAAATATGAGTGTTCAAAGGGATCCTCCACACCCAATCTAGGAAACAGATGACAGATATCCTAGAACTACCATTAAGTCAGCTATAGAGAAATCAAAACAAGGTTTTGGTACTTGCTAAAGTTTAAAAGTCTGAGTTCTCTTTAAAATTTAGGATGAAACCTAATTTCCAATACAACAGTGTTGGAGGTTATGTTTTAGGGGATTATGAGGGCTCGCTCGGTCCTTAGGAATGGATCAGCACCTATGCAATGGCTTGAGAGGGTGGGCATTGTTCCCACCTCATGAGGACACAGCACCTGTCCCCTCCAGAGGATGCAACAAGGTGTCAGTGTGAAAGCAGAGGTTAGCCCTTACCAGACACCAAACCTGCTGGCACCCTGACCTTGGACTTCCCAGCCTCCAGAACTATGAGAAGTGAATTTCTATTGTTTATAAATTACTCAAGTCTGTGGTACTCCATTACAGCAGCACAAACGGACAAGACACTTTACCTAAAAATATATTTCCATTTTGGTTTTAACATAGTTTTATTCTTGTTTATATGTAAAGATTCTTCCCAGACTATCAGCAGGCTTTTGCTGGATAGAACCAAACAGAAAAATCCAAGTAATAAAGTCAAAATGATAAGACACATTAAGTACTTTCAGGTTACAAGGCACATTGTGCAGCCAGCCTCCCTCTTCAACACTATGCAGCCTCCTGCTGCTGAAGGGGCAATTTAACATAGTTCACCTCTTCTGGAGACCACCAGTTTTTGACTACTAGACCTTTGTTTTCCATTCAATATTTTATTAGGCACTTGCTACGTCCAGAAACTGGGCCAAATCTTTTCCTCTGGTAGGCTCCCTGACATTTGCGATTTGAATGCTCCACACTCCTTCTTCAGAACAGAAGACATTTAAAAACAGTAAAGTAACAAGAATATATTGAGTTGTTAGTGCCACTTGTAGAAAATATCAGATAATTTGTATTTCATGTTGAATACACATCTGTCATCAGCAAGCTTCCACCTGACACTGAGAGACACTTCAAAATGGGTGAAAAAGTCCTTGTCATGAAAACCTTGTAATCCACAGGGGACGTTCAATCATATAAAACTAATCCAATGAGAATAATTTAAAAAGAGGTTTGTGGTTTCAGAAAGGGATAAAACAATGAAGTTAAATGAGACAGTACAAAACAGCAAATTGCTAAGTTTTGGTTAACAATTTTAGACAATACAGAATTTCAAGAAAAATACCTTTTTTTTCTCTGTGGTTACGTGAAAGTCTGTTACACATAAAACGGTGAACATATTAACACAGTTTGGCCAGATCTCAATGACAAGCCTTTTACCTCACCAATGGTGCCAGTCACATACTGATCAATGGCATTGGAGACTTCTGCTCTCTTCACTCCTGTTTTAAACTTCATTGACAGCACCTGTGGGTGGTGTCTAAGCCACCAACAGTTTGCCTTATCTCCTGCAAGGCGTGTACAGTGTATCCGAGACTGCTGTCCTGCTCCAATGCCAATAACCTGAGGGACACAGACATGCAATGAACACCTCTTCCGACAATGCATTCTTTTCGAAGGACATCAGCATTGAAGCCTTCATTCTTCATGGAACCTCAGGCCCAAGGACACCAGTAGCTACAACCTCCTACAACTTTGTTACTAGAGACTGACAATATTAACAGTTGGCAATAATTAAACTTCTGAAAGGGTCTTCCGGGTATCATGCTAATTAATACCTATATGCCCCAATTTGTGGGCCAAATAATTTGACAAATGCCAAGAGATAAGCTGAAGGCACCGTGAGAAGGGCTCACTGTCCTGAAGCTTGATCAAGTTCAACCATAAGTTGGGCAAGGCCTTAGTGACTAACCAGCTCAATCTTGCATTCAATGTCTTAATACAAAGAAGGAAGTTACTATCATATAGTAAGAATTATTCACTGTAGATCTTCTTCAACTTACAATGGGTTTACATCCTGACAAACTCACAGTAAGCTGAAAATATCTTAAGTCAAAAATGTACTAAATACAACTACCCTATCAAACATCATACCTCTCCGCACAGCCTACCTTCTACCTGCTGTACTTAGTCTATGCAATTAGGAAAGACCATCTAAACACATGCTTATTTTATAAAAAAGTGCTGAATACCTCATATGATTTATACTTTACCGAAAGTAAAAAACAGAATGGTAATACAGGTATATTTTCATACCATTCTAAAATCAAAATATTGTCAAGTTCAGCCACTTTAAGGTAGGACGGTCTGTATCTTGATGGTGGCAGTGATCACACAAGTGTACATTTACAAATTATATTACAAACTGTACATTTACAAATTATACCTCAATAAACCTGACTTTAAAGATCAGGTTAACTCCTAGTCTAGCAGTCTTTCTGCTTAATAGATTCTTGGTGAGACAACATAAGAGACTGGAGGTGTAGCCTGGTGGTAAAGCACTTGCTTAGCATGAACACGGCCCTGGGTTCCATCCCCAGAACTAGGGAGAAAAAAACAACATAAGATGTATATGTGAAAATATCTTGCAAGCTGCAAAAATATAGCCTGATGGGTAGCAATGCCATTCCTTTCTTCCTCTTCACCAGAAATTACCAATAGAGGCAACAGAGTGATGAAATCAGTTTTATAACAGCTATTAGCACCCCACAAATCCAAAATGTGCCAACACATTCCAGGCAAGAGGTGAATGACTGATTTTTTAGTACTTTGTTCCAAAGCTACTTCTTAATCATCATTAGTTTAACGGTCTACCAAGGTGCTGAGTAAATACTGACAAACGCAGAAGAGAAAAACTTGGCAAGTTTTCCCTTTCAAGCTGTCCAGTACCTGAGGCAGATGGATTTCTGAATATCATTTTGTAAAACAACAGTCCCCCTGGGGTGGGTCTGTCAGCTTGGTTACCTGCCCGTTCTTGGCATAGCACACGGAGTTGGACTGAGTATATTTGACAGCAATGGTGGCAACAATGAGGTCTCTGAGGGCAGATTCTGACAACTGAAACAAACACAGAGTGGTAAGCGGCATGGGGCTTTGTAAACTCATTTAATTTTAAGCTTCTTACTTGCCTGTTTATGCAACAGATCTGTAAGATAGTTATGCCACTGAAATGAGAGAGTGAAACTGTTCATGCTACACACTACCATATTTTACTAAAAGGATCAATTATTTAACATGTTTGTGGTGGACCTCCATACAATGCTCAACGTGTAATGGACTCAAACTAGTGCCATTTTGCAGCAAGGCTGGACTAAGCCTGTGTATATCATGCAAGAGATAGTACAGTGTATTCATTTGAAAACTGACAAGAATATTTTCCTGACCACAGTGCCTTTAAGTATCTGGAGACAAAATAAATCTTGTGTTTACAAGCAGTGCTGAGATAATTTTCATGGACATTAAGGACCACTGTATGCATACACACAGCCACGGCTGTTCAAAGAAAATCATGTTAGGGTCATTTTCTGCTTTGTTTAGAATGTTCTAAGTAGAAACTATTCAAAATTGCATTGTATTGTGAACTATCAGCAGAACAGTCAGTCAGTAATGTCACTGTCTTTAAAGAGATTCAGGTTGGTATGCTAGGTGGGCATAACTGCACATAACTGATAAATTAGATAACTGAAAAAACAGTAACATCATCAAAATCAAGTTTCACTTTGTGAAATACCCCTTTTTAAGAGGATGAGAAAACAAAATACAGACTGAAAGGAATATCTGAAAATTACATAATGAATAAAGAAGTAGGACCTATAACACATACCCACACCCACACCCCCCAAAAACCTAAACTTAGTGACAAAACAATAGTTTAATTAGAAAATGAGTAAATGACACTTCACCAAAAAGGATATGTGGGTGGCAAATAGAGCATATCAAAAAATGTTCAACATCATGAATTATTAGAAAGTGCAAATTCCATTAGAATATTAAGATATAACTACACATTGACCAGAATGTCTTAAAGAACAAAACAAAACAGGGACAACACCCAAAACCTCCAGAAATGGAACCACTCGTCTATTGCTGGTGGGAATATAAAATGCCATGACCACTCTGGGAAACACTTTCATAGTTTTAACTCTAAACATACAACTACTATGTCAGAAAGCAATTAATACTCGTGGTCATTCACCACAAAAACAAAAAGCTTATATTCACATAAAAAGCAGTGCATGAATGTACAATAAACAAATATTACAAAGAGAGAGAAGAGATTAGTAGTCGCCCAAGGTCAAGGCACGGTGGAAGCAGCACAGAGGAAGCCTGAATGTACAGGAGCAATGGGAGGGGTCCTGAGAATTCTGTACCTTATCTGTGTCAACTTCACGGCTGCAACACTGTTATTGCAGTTCTGCAAGATGTCAGCCTTAGGATAGGACAAAGGGTCACAGGAACCCTGACAATTGCCTGTGAACCTACAGTTTCTATTTTTTAATTTTAAAATTAAAAGTTTAATTTAAAGAAACAATTTCTTAAGAATTTATTATTGTAAGGTGCTAGTAATAAAATATATACCCTTTCTTACAAATCTTTTTATTATTTAAGTCACCACCTATAAATTTGATACCTTAGGTTACAAGAAAGGTTTGTAACAAAAGCCAGCTTCCTGGATGTGTACTTTCAGACAGAACCCAAGGATTCTGAGTTAGGATCAGGAATACAAGAAATGTGAGTGGGGTGGGAATGAGAGACTCCAACAGACTGAAGCACTATCCAAGAAAAACAGGAGCAGAGGAAACAATTGAAACATTTTCAGTATTAATACTACTCATTCCACCTGTCCAGCTCTCTCAAGACTGCAACAGTTTCAGACCTAAGAGAACTATCTTACGATTCTGAGACAGAAATGTGAACAATAATTTGCTGTAAAAGAAGAAAAGTAGACTATGAAGGAGGATAAAACTATCACTCATGTGTCTCAATTTCTGCTAAGAATCCACAGAAAGCAAGGAGAGAAGAATTTAGATAAAAGATTATGATTTTACCCTCTCTCATTACTGCAAAAAACATTCAGAGGCACAAAACCTATCAAGATTGCTAAATTATTAATCAGTCCAATGCCTACAGACCTACAAGAAAAATTTTAACAAGGGGTAAATTCTCAAGGGCTTAAAGACTCCGCCCTGCATCAATGCCTGCATGTTTATTTCAGGGTACTACTAATTCTCACAAATAAAAATGGAACAGTATCCAATAATGGATCAAAAAAAAAAATCATTCAGATGCTTAACAGACAAAACTAGCCAATAAAGACTACAGAGCTTGTTTCAGTCATTCTAGGTACAGCCTCAGGAGTGAGACCTGGGAACAAAAGTGGTTCCCTTTTGGTCTTCTGCTTCTGCTGCAGTGAATGGTGGGAGACTATTCTCTTTCAGAATAAGCCGAGAAGCTGGACCAAGTGCTAATACTCTAATTCAGAGAGCCAAAGATCCCGAGAAAAAGGAGCTGAAAGAAATGAGTCTGACAATTCATGCTTTTCCCCTTCAGGCTCTTTCCAAGCAGCTTGGAATAAACTAAGAGGTAAATAAGCCGAGCACAGTTTCTAGAAGTCTTACAGAGCTAAGGAACAAAAATGGAGTCCGAATACACCAGAGAAGAGTGTGTTTGTAGGTGCCTGGTCTCTGGCAGAACAGGGATGAACCATGAACAGATTGGTCCCCCAAACACTGAAGCCCAAATTCAAACCAGCTCGATTTCCGACAGTAGGAGGCAAGATGCTCTACTGTAACTGCTTGGCAGATATATAAATCAATTCTCTGGAAGAAAACAACAGCCCCAGGCCCCAGAATATCTCCAGGTTTTTTCAGATCCAATGATCAGCATTCAGTCAGTCATTCCAGGCACATCAACAGTTCTAGACAAAAAGGGGGTGATACCCTCAAAGTACTAAAGAAAAGTACTGTCAACATTATACCCAGAAAAATACCCTTCAAAACTGATAGCCAGTATTTTGGGACCGGGGCTATAGCTCAGTGACAGAGTGAATGCTTAACAGTCATCAAGGCCTTTATTCAATTTCCAACATATTAAAACAAACAAACAAAAAATGATATTTTGGGAAATAAATAAATGCCCATCTGTGCAACCTTTGAAAATTTCCTAACTGTACCCTATGTCACAGTTTTACAATCTTCACAGTAGAGATGGGTCACCTCCCATAGTGTGCCTGAGATTAAATGAGATAATACATTGAAAATCCCACCTCTAATCACCATTATCCTGTGAATGTGTCCCTCTTAAGATGATCTACAGCCTAAGGACAAAAACTTGTCAGCATGCTGAACCTACAGCCTGTAGGACACCTATCCTTTTTTGCTGTTGTTGTTATAGTAAAAACATTAAAAAATAAAGCTGTATTACTTATATACATTAATAATATCGCATATTTTATATATGGCCCAACACAACTCCTCTTTATTCAATGTGGCCCAGGCAAATCAAAAAGTTAGATACTACTCTACACAAAAATATCAATCACAGCACAACTGAAACAAGCTGAATATCCATCACGGTGCATCTATACATGGGGTGTCATGTGACTTTTCAGACAAAAATGTGCATCTACATTTATGGACATGGAAACACACCTGTAGCCTCATGCATGCCAAAAAGGCAAGTTACAGAAGACATGATCCCATTTATGTATAACTGAAGATGCTTATCCCTATGGCTTGTGTACACATACAAGCAAGCTTCTGATGTGATCTCTTACTTTTTAGGCTCTCAGGCTTACCTGACAACTCAAAGATGAGCTAGCTGTTTGTACAGATAAGGGATTTAATACATGTATAAACTTATAAATAGTGAAAACACACCTACTAAAGTTACTAGCATTCAGTTCTGGTATTTTCAAACTTACATCTTTATTCTTGGTAGCCACATTGCTAAATAATGACTTGTCGATGACACCATTATTTCTCTTCTGGCTTAAATGAAGACCAAAGAGAGTTCGAACTTCATTTTCATCTGGTTTGTAAGACTGGTCCATCTAAGACACAAATTTAAAAAGCTGCATTATATTTATATTCTTCAAATATTTACATTCTGTACACAAGATTTTATTCTTAGTAAAGTTTTATCCGTTTTTCTAAAATAAATCTGTGCCATCATTTTAATGAGTATGATGCAATGGCTGGACAACAGTACTTTGCTAGGAAATTAACAGATATTAACTTACAACTTACAAATAATATATTAAAACCAATGAGTCTATCAGTATATTTCTGGTAACACTGCATTAACTAGAAGTTACTATCTACACAGTCCTTTTGGAAGGTCAGCAGATAAAACAGATTTGCTAACAAACAGGCCATGGCATAAAAATCACACTCTATTTTTCCTTATCTTTTAAAAGTCTACTGTCCAGAGTACCTAGCTAACACCTTACAAGTTAACATGGAGAAAAGAGGATTTGTAGTCTAGGTCTTTGTTACCTGGAAAGGAATTTATGTCATTTATCATCTTCCCCTCCCAAATTCTGAATTAAAAAGTAAGTTACAGGGAACATTACATGCAAGACTGCTCTCTCTCTAGATATCTCTAAACTTAACAATATTTCTTTATTTACCTTTTGGATGATCTTTGACTTGGAAAGCACTTATTCTATAATTTATAAGCAAGCCCCTGCCAACATGTTACTTCTATCTAACCTACATATTCTTGAGTTCTAAAATGTTCTTTTGTTGTATGCACTATGGCATTTCTAATGTTGGTGTGCCTTCCTATTAGCTGACGTCAAAAGAAACCTGTCCTTAGTCAAGTACAGGAGTGAGCTGCTTTACAGTCATAATCATGTGCAAGTGGAGCCAAATTCTCAGGCAAAACAGTGAGGGAGCCCCAGGGTCACCTCCAACACAACACTGGCAGGTGCTGAGAGCACCTGATGATGGGTTCAGGGTGGGTTTGGAAAGCATTTCCCATAATGCTGCATGTAACTGCTAATGGTCATACACAGTGCTCTTACAGCACCAAAAACAGAAGAATATAGTGGTAGCTAATTGTGTGGTTAAACTTACACACATGGATTAAAAACAAAAACGATATATATTTAATGTGCTATTTTCTTCTTTCCTTTAAAGGCTGACATAGAATCTGTAAACTTTAGAATTATTGGTATTTTACAGTCAAAAATACACAGTCGGTCTTCAGCATTTGTGGGTTCCATAACAACAGATTCAAACAACTACAGATCAAGGACAATTAAGAAAAAATACTGCATCTGTACTAAACACATACTGACTGTTTTCTTTGTAATTAACTCCCTGAATAATACAGTGTAGTAACTATTTACATAGCACTTAAGAGTGTGGTAGATATTATCAGTGATCTAGAGATGATTTAAAGAAAATGGGAGAGGGCTGGGGATTTAGCTCCTGTCTTGTAGGTGCAAGGTCCTGAATTCAATCCCCAGTACCCAAAACAAAAACAAAAACAAAAACAAAAACAAAACCCAAAACCAAATATATATATATGTTGGTTTGTTTGTTTTTTGGTACCAGGGATCGAACTCGGGACCTTGCACTTGCAAGGTAGGCACTGGAACCCACTGAGCTAAATCCCTGGCCCCAAATGGATGCACATGGGTTATAATAAATACTATACTATTTTATAAAAGACATATGTACCTGTGAATTTTGGTATCCACAGGGATCTTGAAACAAATCTTCCCATTGAATTTATTTAATTAGTATGGTTTATGCTCCAATTTCTAAATCCCCTGACAGTTGTAAACCCAATGCTTTTAATACTTAGCAATTTTCCCTGCCACACATCAGTTATGGTAGAAAATGTTATCAACATGAGCTGGGTTTGGTGGCCTTTGCCTGCAATCTCAGAACTTGGAAGGGTAAAGCAGAAGAATCACAAGTTCAAGGCCAGCCTATATAGTGAGAGTACTGTTTTAAAAAACAAATAAGAAGAAAAGAGGTAAGAGAGTGACAGAAAGGAAGGATGGAAAGATCTTTCCATCAAATAACATCTAACAGGGCTGGGGATTTAGCTCAGTGGTTCTGCCGCCTGCCTCACAAGCACAAGGTCCCGAGTTCGATCCCCGGTATGAAAAAACAAAACAAAACAAAACTGAAAATTAAGAGTAAAGAGACTATCCTTATCTTAAACTTCAAAATCAATAATACACAAAAACTTGCAGGATTAAAGAAACTGCAATAAAGTGGGATAAATCAGAAGGGTGTCCCCATAAAGAAAAGATTAAACATGGGAAAAAGAGACAAAAGGGGAAATTATTATAGCAAACATGAATTGCACTAACCTGAAGAACACAGTAATTTCCGTTTTTCTTTTTAGAAAGTATTTTCAAGGCTTCTTCTTCATATCCTGGGGCAATAATACCATCAGACACCTATAAGCATATTAAAGTTAATCTCTATTTAAAAAAAAAAAAACCCAGAGAATGCCTCTGAAGAATCTAGTCACAATTATCTGTCCTAAATAATGCTGTAGCACTTTCTGATTCTATCTCCAACAGATAATGCTAACGCCAAGCTTTAAAAAAATTGTCAGAATAGACTTACTCTTTACAGATGACTCTGTCTTGCTTGATGTCCCTTCAGACTCGTTTAACTAACACTATATGAGTGATTCACTGTAATTCATGTACCTCAGGAAGAAAAACCAGTTCTTTTCTTACTCCTTTCTTTAGAGGGTGGTGTTTTTCACTAGAAAGAGCACGTTTTGATCCCAGCTCTGCCAGGATCTGATTAAATGACCTAGGTGAGACATGCTTCTCAACAGCAAGACAAGAGGATCAGAGAGTTAACATCTTGTAACTAACAATACAAAAGTCACAGCTTTGCTATGACCTGTAACAATGTGAGCGCCACTGGGGTTGGAACAGTAATGGTCATGGACAGAAACATGCCCCTTTACTTTCTATTTTCTCCCCTCTATGCTGGAAGTACATTTTCTTTTTCTTTCCTGTCTCCCCAGTACCACTGAGCACCCTGAACTGTCTGGAGTATTTGTTTGGTATTCAACTGATAAGGATTAGTTTATCAAATCAGTTTACATTTTTTCCAATTATATAGTCCCTTTCAGATCTATAAAGGTTTACAGTGAAGATTCCTTATTTCATCACCACTCAAGATGGCTCTTCTTTTTGGCATTAAAATACATGCACTACAAAACTTAAAAGAATTACATTTACAAAGAAAAACTTTATCAAAATAGTCAATTCACTTTACGCATTAATTCACTAACTCTTAAAATTAATTCAAGGATTCATGTTTTCTATAAAATATGAACACCCTACATAATAAATTTAATTTACAGCTGGTACAAATATAAATATTACAAGTTACAGTTTCAATAAACACTATAAACAAAACACTTTACTACTCAGTTACACATAGATCACATTATATGAATGTCTATTAACCTCTCTGGAGATAATTTTTGCAGTTGGGACATCACAAATATCAGATAATGCAATAAAATCACCAAATGAAGACATTCTGTCAGCCCCTATAAATAAAAATGAAAATAAAGTATGCATTATACATTATACTTGCACAAAAAAGAAGTTTTAAAATTTCCATATGATCAAATGAATTCTATTTCTTTAATGTAATCTTATTCTTTACATAAGGTTTAATTAACAGATCAATCTCTTTTAATTCAAATAATCATTAGGGAAGCATTTATTAATTTTACCTTCTAGAGTAGCATTTAGCAAACTTTTTCTAAGGTCTAGGCAGTAAGTAGTTTTGAAGCTTTGTGGCCATATGGTCTCTATTGCAACTACTCAAATTATAGTTCAAAATCAGCCACTGAAAATACATGAACAAGGGCATATAGCCTTGAACCAATCAAACTGTACATATAAAACTAGGAATCTGACTGGATTCAGTCCAAGGTCCATGGTTTGCTGACCCCTACTAGATATGATAAACTGTAAGTTTCTCAAAAATCTTCCATAAACATCATAATATCCATGTTATTATTATGGTTTTGTTTTGGTACCAGAGATCGAACTCGGGACCTTGCACTTGCGAGGCAGGTGCAGGAACTGCTGAGCTAAATCCCTGGCCCAATATCCATGTTATTAAATCCAAAAATTAGATGTTTCTAAAACATACAGAACATAAGTCTAGGGGCCAGGGATTTAGCTCAGGGTGCCAGTCACTGGCCTTGTGAGCATAAGGTCCCGAGTTCAATCCCCGGTACCAAAAACAAACAAACAAACATAAGTCTAAGTTAGTATAGAGTAATCATATAATTTTTGTCATATAAATAAGAATACATTTAATAGCCTAATCTGAAATTACATGTACCAACTTCAATGTTTCTATTTATTACATTAAAATACTAATATATTTTTATAAATAAATCTATTATGAGGCAGTCATGAACTCATTTTCAAGTATTAATAAAACAAAGTGAAGATAATTTGAAATCTAATGAAACAAAGTACATTACTATTCTATTCTATTGGGGATAAAACACTGGTTTTTCTCCTATCAGTCTGACCTCTTGCTCTTGCGTATGCCATCGATATGGGTGTGAGGGTATTGTAGAGGTCATAGACCATGCAGACTCTGGCCTCATCTTCACTGAGTGGGATTCCAACAGCAGCACCTAGTAGAAAAACCATGGAAGAATCAATAAACCTCAAACCTCAACTTGCTACTTGTCAATTCCTGTATCGAGACTTTTCAAAAAATATCTAGTCAGTGCAGTGTATTTTCTAGCACCTCTGCCAAATTAAATAAAAATCTATTTAGCCAAGTAATTAACAAAAGTCCAGTTGCAAGGGGCAGGGAATCCTCTCTGGCCTCTACAAATACAGTGCTGCTGAGGCCTGACAGCGCCTGTGCTGAAGCTGGGTCCCTTCATTACTGACTTTCTGTTCTGCTTGGTATCTCACATTTATTTCTTCCTGGCTCATACTGCTTTACCATCCAATAAATATGGAGGACCATTATGTGCTGGACCACCAACAGACCTAGTGGCATATATAGATAAATTGTAGAATTAAGAACTTAAATGCAAAAGCAAAAAGGCATGTCATATAATGGCTATAAAAAGTTATAAAATATCATAAGAACAATTTTTTAGGTTTACTAAAGTAGATCTTCAAATATGTAAAGAATATTTATTTTGGTATATAACATTAAGCCATTTCACTTTTATTTCTAAACCTTCATATTTATACTGTTAAAAAGGCCATGGGCTGATTTTTCTAGCTCATAATAATGTCACACAATTATGTATGTGTTATCAGATTTTTATCATATTACTGTGTTGATACTATTATCAATAGACTTGCCAAAGTGGCTTTATACTTGAATTTTAAAAGAAACCCCTCTGGGGCATTTTTGGGGCATTTTTGGGGCATTTACCTGCAGGGCTGACGTGTTTGAAAGAGGCTGCGGCAGGGAGGTTTAAAGCCTCTCTGAGTTCCTTCACCAGCTGCCAGGCGTTCAAGGCATCACACAAATTGATGAACCCAGGCGCTCCATTGAGAACTAGGTATAAAAACACACACACCCTTTACCACAAGGGGTCACGAAGGTCAGAAGTATGTTTATGTCTTAAAAAACAGAAACATATATCGAGTCTACACAAATCTCTTAATTAAGAAGCAAACAGATATGCACAAACCTGTAAGAACTCAGTGATAAAGGAAAACCAAGTAGCTGAACCTGAGCCCATTCTTAAAAAAATGCACACATGCAAGAACGCACATACACTTGGACACACACTACTACTGGAGGACCAAACAAGCAGGTCTAGAAATAAATCAGTAACAGGGGTCAAGAATGGGAGGAACTACAAGCTTAGAAATCTGCCAGGAAGCCATGTAAATTCAGTACTAAAATTAAGCAACTGTAGCAATTATAGAGACAGTATAAATGTTAAGATATAAATCATGTCAACTTACAGTTACATTACAAACTAAAGCAAGAGCTGTGGGTGGGAGGAAAGAAGAGGAAAAAAACTTGTTTTCTTCTTTAATAGCCCTGCCTAAAGCCGAACTGCAGTGACAAGAAGAAAGAGTACATCTTCAGGGATTTTGGTGTCTTTTTCAATATCATTGGCACCATTCTTAGGAGCTAATCTCTCTTGTGAATAAATACGAAGTTGGCACACAATAAGAAATACTGGGCCATCACTAATTTTAAAAAAGTGTAATTTAATTTCCTTCACATGTTATCTTGAATAGTAGAGATTTTGTAAAGTAAAACCTTGCCAATGTTTACTCAAAACCTACCACAACATTAGGCTCTGGGTACTTGGCATACATCAGTGAATAAAACAGTCCCTCCTACTCGCCCTGAAAATAAAACTGTCCTTATGGAAATTACGGGGCAAGCAAACAAGAAACAAAATGGCAAGAAATAGGAAATGACGAAAACGAAAGGTTAGGTATTTATCCAAATGAACTGAAAACTTATGTCTATACAAAAACTTTTACATGAGTGATTAGAGCAGTTTTGATCTTAACTGTCCTTCAAGTTATTTTTTTTTGTTGTTTTTTGTCCTTCAAGTTTTGATGTCCAATAGGTCAATAAACAAACTGTGGTACATCCACATATTAAAAAAATAAGAAATGAGTGGGGCACACTGGTAGTGCATGTGCTGAGGCACTAGGTTCAATCCCAACCCCACCCTCCAAAAAAGGGAAATGAGCTGTAACCCTAGGAAATTGGGTATTTTTATTTTTTCTCTTTTTTTTGGACAGGGTCTCACTGTAGTTCAGGTTGGCCTTGGACTACGTAGCCCAGGCTGGACTCAAACTCTCAGCGATCCACCTTCCTCAGCCTACCAAGTGCTGGGATTGTAAGTGTATGCTACCAGGCCTGGCTTTTATTTTCAAAATATACCTGAAGTGGTAGATCTGATGAATGTGAAGGGCTAAGGAGAGAGTATTTTAAAGTGTTGAAGTTCCAGCCCTGCTCCACTCTGTATCTCCCCAAGCAGGTGATGGAGAAGAAGGAAGCCAACAGGAAGCTGCTTCTTCCTACCACCAAAGGCGTGGGTAGACCTGTGTGCCCTGAACTTACTTTGTGTGGTCCTTGCTCTGGCTGAGGGCCTGCCCTCCTGCGTGGTGGGCCTCTAAGGCCTCCACAGCTGCAGCTCTCTCCTCTGCCCTTCGCCACTGTCCCTCCTACCATGGAGGACGGGCTCTAACAGCCCACCTCAAGAACAAAACAGGCCCAAAACTGAAAAACCCTCTCTTAATTCCACCAATCCATGGAGTCCTAATTTCTCTCTTCAAAGAATTTTCCATCGTTGTTATTTCCTAACCTTACACCTCTGTTTTCGCCCACTTCAACTAGTCTTCTAAAATTATAATTTCAAGGAAATTTTGGCTTCAGTGTTTTGGGTGTACTGGGGATTAAATCCAGGGAGCACTGAGCTATATCCCCAGTCCTTCTTTACTTTACTGTAAAGTGCTTCTTTTATGACTCCCCAAATAGTCCCTTTTCTATCCTAAATGACATTCCAACCCACTGGAATTCTCCAGATTGTCATATGGCTCCTCCTTGCTTTGCCGACCAACTGGAAAAGCACCCCAAAGCTTCGCCTTGATGCTCTGCTATGAAACTCGGACCATCTCACCCTGGCCCACGTCTTTAGAAAATTTATATGACAAAGACAGCCCAAGCTGTACCTCCAACCTGATCTCGCTTCACACCTACAGATTACCTCAACATCTGTGCTCACAATTCCAACTGACATCTCAATTTTGGATGGCTACAAATAGCATTATGTAATTTACTTTACTTTCTGAATGTAAACCACATTAGATACAATACAGATAAAGATATACACGCATCCAGGTACAGCCAACTGCGCCACAATACACTCAAGATTTTACCTGTGATGGGAAGCCTGGGCTTCAGCGTGTACAGCTGGGCGGGGGTCTGATGAGGGTTCATACCATATCTCAAGGGCATCTGAGAGACTCCTTTACTGTACTGTTTCCTGAAGTAATCTGAAATGGCTTCATCATACTGTGCCGTGTGAGTGAATGCCTACAAAAAGTATAAAGTTTTATGAGACACTAGCAGCAGGGACAAGATGGTTTTAGGTACACAGAAAACTATATGCCCTGGTCATGTGTATACTCACACACAAAAGCCACCAAATAACACAGCGAATTATCTCTTGCAACTCTTTCACTCTTTTTCACAGAATATTCCTATACTATTTGGTCTCTCCAGGCAGGCAGAGATACAGGAGGTGATGGAATCCAGCCAGAACTCAATACTGTTTGGCTTGGCCAACACTGCACAGGACAGAAGTGACTACACAAAGTGTGCCCCACCTTCAAGGCTAACTGGCGTCGGGTCTCCAAGGAGGTGTCCTTACTGTCAGAGCTCTGCATCTCTGTGGACACCGCTGCATAGTCTTCTGGCTCACACACCACTGTCACCCGAGAGTGGTTTTTGGCTGCAGCTCTCAGCAATGTTACTCCACCTTTGAAGGACAAAAAATGTTGTATTTTATTATCAATTGATGAATCTCTTTCAAATACAGTCATGGTGCACACACTTCCACTTTAAGTCCTCCTGTAAAAAAGGAAATAAATATGGAAAAAAACATCCAGATGACTCATTAAAAAAATAAATAGCTTGGGCTAGGACTACAGTGCCAAAGTGCTTGCTTAACATATGAAAGGTTCTGGGTTCAATCCTGGGGGAGGAGGCTTATAAAATACAGATGAATTATAATCATTCTGAAATAGGATCTAGGAGAAATGATTATTTTTTGTTTCAATAATGAAAATCAAAAGGAAGTCTCATTAGAATTTTAAATAACCCCCTCCTCTGTTAGTCTCAAAATAGTTTTGCTAACTTACCAATATCAATTTGCTCCACAGCGTTCTCAACAGTCACGTCTGGAGAGGCCACTGTCTTCACAAAGGGATAGAGATTACAGGCAACGACTCTAAAACCAAGGGGAATTCAACCGTCATTCAAAACTCAGCTTATATGGCTTATAACTAGGAAAAAAGGAGTCAGCACTATGTATGTGACCAAAACCATAAAAGATCTAAAATATAAACTGGGAAAGAAATCAAGATGCACAAGCTTAAATACTGCATGGGTTCTCTCATAGGAGAAATATAAACAGATGATAGATAACAGGAAACAGGGAGGCAAATCTTTTGCAAATCGGAAGGGGACCAAGAGATAAAGGAGGAGGCAGGGAGACCAAGGGAAGGGGACATAAAAGATGTTATGTCCATGTACCATCTCCCTACAATTAATGAAATCATTATGTACTGCAAACATGAAATAAGTAAAAATGAATAAAGTCAAATATGAACTGTGTGACTGACATTTTAGAAGTGTAAAAAGTTGTGTGCAAAAGCCTGGGTGTTCTACACCTGCAGAGCACAGGTCCTTTACTCAGCAGGTGCTCTGGGTCTCTCCAAACCATATGCAATACTGCTACTCAAGTAACTTTAGCTGCCTGCCACTATCACACCATCAAAACTGTGAAACATTTTTAATAGAAATAAGAACTAGAAGATGACAGATAACACCTTTATTTCAGGTTAGAACACTATTATCTAGGATATTTTAAATTAGATTCTTTACCCACAAATTGTGTGCAATGATGAAAACCAATGGAGCATTCTAACAATAAATTATTTGTTTATTTTATCTTCAGAGAGGTCATAAGAGACATCATAAATGGGATAGTAACAGGGAGGTCAAAAGAATAATTTAAAATACAGAACAGATCTAAATTAACTAGTGAATAGAGTCCGACTCCCAGGGATACAAACTATGGCGCTCTGTGGGCAGGCTTCCAGCTTCCAAGCTGAAGAGGGGCCTGCTCAGTTCATCCTATTGGCCTATGACCCTGATAACAGTCAGACAAATGTGTCACAAAAAAGCTAGAGAATACCATTTCTCATCCACACTGACACAAAAATCCACAAAAATACTAGCAAATGGAAACTAGAAAAAATATGAAAAGAATTAAATATCACAGCCAAACAGGGGTTTAATGCCTTGAATGTACAGCTAGTTTAACATCCAAATATCAACTAATAAAATGTCATCAGAATAGTCTGATATGGTGGTGCACACCTATAATCCCAGCACTTGGCAGGCTGAGGCAAGAAGGTCGCTGTGAGTTCAAGACCACCCTGAACTATACAGTGAGACCCTGTCTCAAAAAACTAATAAATAAATAAATAATCAGAATAAAGAAAAAAACCACCTGATCACCGCAACAGATAAATAAAAAGTGTCTGACAAAATTCAATATTCATTCATGATAAAGAAAAACACTCAACAAATTAAGACTAGCAGGGAACTTCTTCAACATAATGAAATTTGAAAAAAATAACTCTGGCTAGTAACACCATAATGATGAAAGGCTGAATACTTTCCCTCTAAGATCAGGAACAGAATGTCCACTCTTAGCATTTCCATCCAATATCGTGCTAGACATTCCAGCCAGGGAAATTTGCAAAGAAAGAATGCGATAGAATTGAGAAGAAAGAAGCGAATGTCTATACACAGGTGACATGAAGTTATACACAGAAAATCCCAAAGAGCTTACAAGAAAACCCATTAGTACTAATAAATGAGTTCAACAAGGGAAGGGATATAAGCTCGATATACAAAAATCAATTGTACTAGTACACATTTGCAAGGAATAATCAGAAAATAAAATTAAGAAAACAATTCCACTTACAACAGCACCAGAAAGGATATTTTATAAATAAGTTCCATAAATATATAAAACTTGTATACTAAAAAATAAAACAATGTTGAAAGAAACCAAAGAAAACAGAAATACATGGGAACTTTCCACATTCATGGGTTGGAAGACTTAGTATTATTAAAATAGCAATATTCTCCAAATTGATCTATGGATTCAAATACCTAGGAAAACTCCAACTGCTTCTTTTGCAAAATGAGCAAACTGATCCTAAAAATCACATAGAAATGCAAGGTCCCTGAATTGCAAAATAATCTTTAATAAGAAAAACAAAGTTGGAATAACTCAACAGTTCTTGATTTCAAAATTTCTGCTGAGCAACAGTAGTGCCGGCATAATGAGACATACAGACAAGGTTGCCAACACCATTCAAGGAAAAATAGACTTTTCAACAAATGATGGTGTGACAGGGCCAGGTATTTAGTTCAGTGGCCCCATGGCTTCCTTGCAGGCACCAAGGACCTGAGTTCGATCCCCAGTACTGGAAAAAAAAAAAAAGGATAGTATGACTGGTATGACAACTGGACAGCCACATACAGAAAAATAAAGTTTGACCCCTACCTCACACCTATGTATAAAAATTAACTTTAAATGTATAAAAGACCCAAATTTAAGAGTTAAAATTACAAACTCCTTAAAAGAAAGCAGGCAAAAATCTTCATCATCCATGATTAGGCAATGATTTCTTAGCTGTGACATCAAAAGTTCAAGCAATAAAAGAAAGAAATTGGACATCGTAAATTAAAAACTTTTTTTTTTGGTACCGGAGGTTGAACTCGGGTCCTTGCACTTGCAAGGCAGGTGGCGGAACCACTGAGCTAAATCCCTTGCCCAATTAAAAACTTTTATGGTGGTCAAAGGACATCACCAAAAAGGGAAAATACAGTACACAGAATAACATGCTACGTAAACATGCTTTAAAAACATGCTATGTAAAAAAAAGTAAATAACAAAGGACCCATTCGAGGAGGCAGACGCAGGAGGAATCACAAGTTTGAGCCCAGCCTGGGCAACTTAATGACTTAGCAAAAACCTGTCTCAAAAAAAAAAGGCTGGGGAAATAGCTCAGTGCAAAGGCCTTAGGTACTGGGTTCAGTCTCTAACACAGGGAAAAAGCATATTTCAGTATAAGAAAATCCACTGAGTCAGAAAGTAGCTCAGTGGTACCAAGGGTGGAAGGTGTTGAAGGAAATGCTAAAGAATGAAGTTTGTTTAAATACAGAACTCCATGACATCTATTCCACTGTTGATACATCCTGAAGGAATCAGTCTACACACTGTAGGGTTACCTGCACACCTGTATTTACTGCAGCACAAATCACAACAGCCAAGATATAGAAAAAGCCTAGGCGCCCATCAATAGAGGAATGAATAAAGAAAATGTTTTCCATGTACAAAATGGAATATTATTCAGCCACAATGAAGAATAAAATCATTCACAGGATACAGGTGGAACTAGAGGCCATCATGTCAAGTGAAATAAATCAGGCTCAAAAAAGACAGTAATAGGTCCCTAATATATGGAATCTAAGTAAAACAAAACAAAAATATGAAAGTAGAAGGGAGATTATTAAATAAGATGGGGAAAAGGGAGAGAAGTATAAGGGAGGTAACAGGAAGGACATATATTATCAAGATACGTTATACACAAGGATGAAAATGCCACAATGAAACTCACTATTTTGTAAAATTCATACACACTAATAAAAATATGTATTAATAAAAGAGAATATAGTCTTTTGGGGGGGAGGGTAACGCTGAATATGTTCTAATATCGAATGTGGTAATAGCTGCACAACATCTGTGAATATACTAAAGACCACTGAATTATACATTGTAAATTGGTGAATTTTTGGATATGTAAATTATACCTCAATAAACCTGTTATATATTTAGTGATACCTCGATTGTCAAACAGCTCCAAACTTGAACTGTGTTGCCGAGGACACAAAGGGTGACGGTTCAATTGAAGTGCCGCTCTCTCCCAGGCAAGACATAGTGCTTTTGTTAGTGCATTAAAACATTCAAAATTGTGTGGGTTTTTTTGCACTTTATTCGCATAAAATATAGTAATTATGGCTCCAAAGAAAGTGATACCAGCAATAAAGCTAAGGGGAAAACTGTGAGAACCATGATAATGAAATCATTGCAAAATTTGTTAAAGTCCTTGAAAAATGAATTTATAAGTGTAATTTTTGGGGATCAGAACCAATTATTTGGTTTTCCATTATTTTTTATGGGAAAAATACATTCAGTTCTCGAATTTTTTGGTGTTTGAACAGAAATTCGATATGAATTGAGTTTAACAAAGTATTGCTGTACTTAAAAGTAGCAATCAGTATCTTTATGATAATAACTAAGTCAGTTGTAACAAAATTTAGATCATAACTTCCTAAATAAACAAAGATTAGGAGCTAGGGCTCTATTTCAGAGACAGTACTTCCCTAGCAAATGTGAGGCCCTGGGTTCAACATCAAACAATGAAAAAGAAAGGACGTATGAGTTTAAATTATATATATTTGGATGCAAAATGCAAAGCTGCCAAAATCAGAAGGCTTATACATGTTGAATGCTACACAAAAGGGATTCAGTAAAGCTTTACAGTCACTAAAAACAGAGGGGGAAGGAGAGGAGCAATAGGTTTGGCATATTCTTTGCTTTTCTTCCTTAATGTGCTAAAATTTTAATTTGAAATTTTTACCTTATAAGATTGAAATCAAGCTTGGCCATGTCAGCATTATCTTCTGGGATATTACGAGCCAGGATTCCTAATATAACAAAGTTAAATCAAGTATTAATTAAAAAAAATAAGAGTTCTTCCAATAGTCCTATCAACCCAGTAAAGCCTTCTCATATTCATAACTAAAGAATACAGAATACGGAGTTGAAAAGTTAGCAAACAAAAAATTAGCAGCAATGGATATATTTAAAAATCTTTTGCATCAGTACATAATTCCCTTTTATTGAACAACAAAAAATATAAAAGGAATTTTTGCAAAACTCTTGAGAGTCCATCACTGTCTGTATATCCATAAATCAATGGTTTGTCTGGTGATCCTTCGCCATTCAGCCTTTATTCGCTGCATTTTACTGCAATTGGCAGATTAGCAATACTATATACTTACTGCTCACCACTTTATGTGGAATTTGCTGTGTTAGACAAATGTACACATGTAAAGCATGTAGCAAAATTTCTTTATAAATTCAGTTACATTGTGATACTTTATCCTGTGAAATTTACTAAAAGTCTAAGCTTTATACTATAAAATCTAAATACTTTCACTAAGGGCAACAGAAACACACACTAATTTAGTTAAATTAGTTATTAGGTCAAGACTACCAGGAAGCAGAAGAAAACCATGTGCATCCATCATGTAATAAAGCAAACCAGATTTTAAACAGGTACTAACTTTGACAGCAAATGTGACAAAGCCAATATAAATTTAGAAATAAACTTTTTTTGAGCTTAGGAGTTTTCTTCTGCCTCCTTTGTTTTAGGAAGTTAACTAAAATATTCCTAAAAACCACTGACTGTTTTAAACTGAAGATACCACCAACTTACCAGCATGGACTGCAGGATGCAAGGTTTTCACACGACCCCCTAACATTTCAGGAAATCCTGTTAGCTCGGAGACGTCTCTGCAAATGAACAGAATATTACCACTGTTTCTGAACTGACATTTTACATCATTCAAAACATCTTTCCTCAAGCCTACTCTTCTCATTGCAAGAAATTTTTTTTTAAAGAACCTGAACAAAAAATTATTCTAGCTTACGGTTTTTCACTACATTTGATTTCTTACATAAGTAAAATTTTATTTACTTTTCAAAAAACCATACTTTCTTTCCCTCCCTCCCTTCCTTCTTAACACTGTCTCACTACATAGTCCAGGTTGGCCACAAACTTTTGATCTTCCTACCGCAGTCTCCTGAGTGCTAGGATTATAAGGGTGGACCACCAATGCCCACCTCACGTTTACTATATTTTCTAACTAACTGATTGTGACTGGGAGAATTGATACGTATTAAAGCATTGGTTTACAACTGTCAAGGAATTTAGAAATGGAGTCATAGATTGTACTAAATAAATAGTATTAAGAAATAAAGTCAAATGAGAAGCAACTTGGCAGTATATAACAAAATGCATTAAAAATATCTTTCTTTATACCAGGAAATATCCAAAGTAGAACTAAGAATTTAATTTTATGATTAAATAGCATAAAGTGAAAAATCAAATTGGTGGGAAAAGAAGACTGCTTAGTAAAGTGGTAACTGTTTAACTCCATGCAAAAATAAATTGCTGATGAATCAAAGGTTTAAGCATTTTAGAAAACCATGTTGAGAACCAAAATTAAGTATACGGGGAACATTTATAGACTCATAGCATTAAACTGAAATTACGTAAATTAAAAAAATCTTTTACACAGAAAACAAAGGGAATGGGCATCACAGAATAGGATTAAGGGCCAAATGAAAAACAATACCTAATATTAATCCGTATCATCAAACTGACATCCACAAAGTTGCACCCAGGAACATCCTCTAATGGAATTTGTTGGGGAAAAATGCTCATAATACATAAGCAAAAAAAGCAGGACTCAAAATTCTATCTTCTATGTCAGTTCTGAAATAATGTGTAGGCTTATAAAAACACTGGAAATACATTCATATGCTAGCTTTACGCATTTTCCAAATTTTTTACAATTAACATAATAGCCTTTATTGGAAGAAATTAATAAACATTTTACTACAGCAAATTTGGCTAAAAGGACACAGAATTTCCTGGGTTGACTTGCCTATCAAAGAGGGTCACTTGCAGATGAATTGCACTTAGCCAAGGTCACACGCAGTTCTAATGGTCATCTGTCAAACTGGTGACACATGGTTTCAAATCCCAAATTCCCTTCTGAGGAATTCAGGAATTAAAATCTGGTTCCTCTAATTAAAGACAATTGCTTAAAACTTCAAATGGCAAGTTTATTCTTAATAAATGCTAACGGTAATTCAAAAGCTTGTTACTCTTTTGTACTTAAAAATTTGTATGTAATAGCTAGTCTTCCAAATTAATTCTCCATATGATCACTGGTATGTACTTACTGATTAAATCTCATTTACCACACAAGGCAATGGTTAACTTCATGGGATACATGATATTAGGCAAGTGACTTCATTTCTTTTTTTCATTTTCGTGGTGCTGGGGATCAAACCTATGGCCCTGTATAAGACAGGCAAGTGCTCAAATACTGAGCTACAGCAACCCCCTACTTAAGTTCTTTGTGCTTCAGTTTCCTTCCCTACCCAATCGGGACAATACTACCTATAGTAAAACTTTATTGTGAGGACTTATGATTAATATATGTAACAATCCTTCCCACTTTATACTCCATTCAGTGAACTTCACAGTGTTGGGCTCTAAACAAATCATTCATAGTAAACATTTTTACCATTTAAGGAGAGAACACTATCCCAATTTTTAAAAAAGATAACACAATAATGGGGATAAGTGAGGAGTGGGCAGAGGGTAGTATTTAAATTGGATGATACACAACATAAGAACTCATTACATGTTTCTGGTTTTGATGATGCCTGCTTCCATAACACAAAATTATTGTGAGAAAAGATAAAAGGAGACCACAGGTGAGAATTTTGCTTAATTTGAAGAAAGTTCCAACTACAACAGTAGACTCCACCTTGGCCTAATGGGAAGAACCTGGGTCTAGACTAGATTTTCATCTTGCTTCAATTCTGTGATTCTCATAGGGTTTCCAGGAGAACCATGTCACAGACAAGATGCGAAAGAAACTTGAGAAATAAAAAGTGTTAAATAAACTAAGGCATTCTCGCCACCTGAACTTGTCAAATCTAGGGAAGCTACGCACTGTTCACATAAAGCAGAATTACATGAACAAAAGGTGGATAATCTACCTCTAGATGGACCTGGAGGGCAAGAAGTCTTCCACATAGCAACTAGGCAGAGAGACCTTTCATCCCTTTTCTAAAATGTATCTCGGGGGTGGGTTTGTCCTTCCTCTGAACTCTTGCTGCAGTTTATTATAGCTGTGCTATGGCCTTTTTCATTTTCTATCTTTCAGTAGTTACTCCCTCTCCATCCAGAAAGCCAGCTCCTCGAGGTCAGGAATGCCTTCCTCATTTATCTGGGGTGCATCCCTTTCTTCCCATCCGAAGTCATGAACAGCTTGTGAACAAGAGAATCAATGACTTGGACCTTCCTATGGTTATGAGAGGTGCTAAGGGAAGACAGGCAGATGTGACTCTTCATGATGTAAACCGTTTTATTAAACAGCCAGTTAAAGGAGACTATATGAATCATAACTTTTGTGTTTGTTGTGCAGAACAGATGGCCCACGTGACTTAATGTGTAAAGGAAGTGGCTAAAAACCAGGGTTCTAAATTGAGGACCACCCACCCTCAATTCTGCAAACTTGTACAGAAGCTGCTAAACCTCTCCGAACCTCGTTTTCCTCTTCCTCAAATTTGAGTAAGGGGTGTGCCAACCTCACAGCGCTCCGGGGAGGGGTATAAGGCACGTATTTAACTCAGAATACCTGCATTACATCACTTTCTGGTTTTAATGTGACCACTTTCTGCCTGGACTTACCTTAAAAACTAAGCTCTACCTTACCTGACTGCCAGGCCAGCATCTCTGAGAGCTTTAGCAGTTCCTCCGGAAGCGACCAGATTCAAACCCAAAGACGTTAGATTTCTGGCAAATTCCACAAGGCCAGTTTTGTCAGAGACACTAAAGAGGGCTGAAAGAGAAGACATTTGTTCTAGTTACTCGCACAACGCGACACTGCGCTCTCCAAGGCCTGGGGAGGGGACTCTCGAACTGCAAGGCCTGCAGCCGGGCGCACAGGTCCCAAGCCCACGGGGAGGCCTGCCCGGGTCTGCTCCGGCGAGCAGCACAGGCCGGGCCGGGCGGACCACAGGCGCCTTTGCGGGCGCGGGTCTCCGCGAGGGCCTCACCGAGCTGGCCGGGAGCCATAGCTGCAGGCGCGGGGTCCGGGCGAGCGCGGCGATAGCGGCGACACCACGTGCAGAGTGGGACTCTGGGGCCGCGGCCCGTCAGCGCAGGAAGCAGGTGGGCGGGGAGGCATCCCGGACTGTCACGTGACCTCAGCCCCGCCCCGCCCCTCTCAAATTCAGAAGCAAAATTGAAGCCTCTGGCGGAAAGCGAGGGAGGGCGGCGCAGGGCGGCGCAGGGCGGCGCAGGGCGGCGCGGGCTCCAGCTGGCGCCCTAGGGCCGGGCTTTTGGGCTTGAAGGAGGCTTGCCTTGGATCTCCAAACTCCCGGTGTGAAAGCCAGTGGTGGCCCTGGCCCTCGAGAGTGTCCTGTTCCCCAGGGCAGCCTGTCCCCGAGGCTGGAAGGTGGACGAAAGTGTCAAAAGCATCAAGTGCTAAAAACAAACACAAGGAACTTCCAATTCTTAGAGTGGCAAAACTAGGAAAGATCTTGGCAATCATCTACCATGTTCCCGCTTTAATATGTTTGAAAAATAATGTTAAGGCCTGAAGATTAAGTGACTAACTCCGCAATATATAGATGAAAGCCAAACGAAATTAAATTGGCATCCGTTTGAGGTTCTGAGCCTACATTATAAAATTGTCTGAAGTCTGCATAAAGATGGTGTGTTCTGGTAAATCTGTACTGTTTTGCGTCCAGCCTGTGTGAGTGATAATGTCTAAAGGGAAAGAGAAGACCTTTATTAAAATAGCAAAAGCAAAATGGAACACATTCTTATTTTTAAGTACAATTTTGCCCAAAATAAATGTATATTGCTGTTTACACAAACCTATTTTACTGTTCTTTATTAGAACTATATTACAAACTAGTAACATTGTCTTTTATTCCTAGTCCGGGGCTCCCAGCTGTGAAAGAGTCTATTTTCTGGTTACCTGCATGTTATGTATTTCTGTTTTTCCTCTTCCCCTCTCTAATATTTTTTGTCTCTTCTTTACTTTCCCAAGTAAATGCCTATTGACAAGACTCAAAAGTTTTATATATTGACCTCTGAGTATGTTTTATTCCTTGTTCTGAATATTTCTCACATTTCTATAAGAAATATATTTAAGATTATTACTCTCTTCAAAGTGTTTGACAAATTTGTTTTTCTCTGTTATTTTGTTTGCCAACTTTGAATTTAAAGAGGTTCATGGCCAGTGGTAAAGCAAAATTCACTGGCTAGTGTGCATTAGATTTCCCAGGGAATAAAAATCAAAGAAAGCAGAACACATTGAAATGTATTTATAAGAGGAAATAAACATTTCTTGACACTAGATATTTTTCCTTTATGTGAATAAAAAATACTCCATTTAATAATATTATTTAATATTAATAATATTATTTACTAATATTGAATATTTTCTGCCTGAGTGGCTGGAATACAACGTCAGAAAGACCAGGTAAGTATCATCTATCACTATGGTCAAGAAGTTCATGAGGTAATGAAAGCATAGACACATAGGTAGGGCTAGAAAATAGTACAAAGAGGAAAGCAGGGCATTGAGCTGGTTCCAAAAAGGCCCCTTGATTGCATAATAAAACATATTTACTATAAGAAATTCTAATTTTCCCATAGTTTCGGAATCCAGACTTGACTATTAAATACGTTAATAACAAGAAGAGTAAATGAGTTTTTTATTACCTTTGTGATCCTGCACAGGTTGAGGACCACTGTGTTACCTGTAAAATAAACATAATATTTGTTCTGTAATCATATTGAAAGAAGCAAATTAATCCATTGAAAGAATTAAATAGAAGTTGACTAATAAAGATATATAGAAGTATAAACTCCTTGGTTTATTTTCTTGATCTAGTTAACTAGTTGGGCATCTTTCTGAGCTTTACAGTATGTCCTTAAAGATGCCAGTCACAAGCAAGCTGGTATCTTAGAAATGGAAAGAGTCCCACAAAAACATGGATTCATCATTCACTGCAGATTTATCACTAGTATCACTGTTTCAGACAGAAAAAAATGTGTGTACCACAATGATTATATTTTTATTTCTTCTCTTATTTCACACCTCTTCCAAAGGAAGCTTGAAGACCCTGAAGTCATAATAATATACCTAAAAATTACATATATATAATAAAAAAAGAAAAAAGAAACCTGAAAGTCTTAAATGTGATACCAGTATCTGGATATAATACATTCACATTGCCTTTCAGAAATTCTTTTTTTTTTTTTTTTTTTTTTGTACTGGGGATCGAGCTTGGGACCTTGTGCTTGCAAGGCAGGTGGTAGAACCACTGAGCTAAATCCCCGGCCCAGAAATTCTTAATATATTACTAGAATTGGTATTTCATACTGTGCTATATTTTTATTACCAACAAAAACTTCCACTTAAACTAGGTAACTTACTGTCTAAATAGGAACCTTTTGGAAAGAAATTGGTCCTATTAACAAGTAGCCCAGGACAAGACACATATACTGGCCGTGTCCTGGGCTATCGATCTCCACATGCTCCACCTCAGTTTCCCACCTAGTATTACCAACTAAGCTGTACCTTCATGGTATCTTGAGCTACTTTTTCCTTGGCACGATGTCTCAAACTTTCTTTTCACTCTGTAGTCCCCTTGTCCATTTCATCTCAATCATGGAGATTCCACTACCACTGGGGTTCTAAGGGGCCAAATTTCCATCTTCAGGAGAGACTTCTGAGTCATCTCCACTAATGAGTTTCACAGAGACCTCTGATGTAATATGCTCCAAAGGGAACTTTTTATATTTCAACCTCTATGACCTTCCTCTTTATTAGTGTTTCCATCTTTGTTAATAGCACTGTTGCAGTGTTATGGTTTGGATTTAAAATGTCCCCCAAACACTGAGTTAAAGCCTTGCTTGCCAGCTGATGGGACTTTAGGAAATGATTGGATCATGATGGCTCTAATTAATCCACTGTGATTAATTATTCCATTGATTAGTTCATAGCTCTGTGGGCTTATTATGAGGTGGGACTTAAGTGGGTGAAGTGTGTCTCTAGTGCCTGCCTCTCTGTCTCTCTCTTTGTCTTGCTGACTCTGACTCTCTCTCTCTCTCTCTCTCCCTCCCCCCTCCCTGGATGCCATGAGATGAGCAGCCTCTCTTTACCATGCCCTCTGCCATGATTATCTGGCACACCACAGGACCAAAAACAACAAAGTCAGTCAACCATGGATTGAAACCTCTAAAATTTTGATCCAAAGCAAACCTTTCCTCCTTTAAGATGTTATTCTCAAATATTCTGTCACAGAGATGGAAATCTGACTGTCATGGTCAGCTTTTTCACTGCTGGAACAAGCCAAGAAGTGGAGCAGTTTGGAAAGAGCCAGAGAGGAAGGGGCCAAGGACCATATCCAGTTTGCAGTCATGCCCTCATGACCACTTCCTCCAAGTAGACCCACCTCCTAATAGCCCAGACTTATCAATGGGTGAGTCCTCTCAAAATCCAATCGCCTCTCCAAGAAGTGTAATCCAGTCAAATTGATAATCAAAATTAACCAGCTCACTGACTAATACAGAAAATCGGTACCAAGAGTAAGGCTATTGCTGTGACTATACCTTATGGTGTGGTTCAGAAGCCTTTGGCACTGGTATGAAAAAAGTTTGGAAATGTTTGGAGAATCAAGCTGGAGAAAGCTCAGAATATTATAAAAGAAGTTTAGTGAATAATTCTCATGTGAGCTCAGAAGCCCAGAACAATGAGAAGAATGCAGACAGTAAAGACTATATGCCCAAGGTCTCAAATGGAACTAAAGAATCTATTGGGAATTGGACTAGAAGCCATACATGTTACAGTCTGGCAAAGAACTTGTCTGTAAGTTGTCCATACCCTGAGACTTTGTTAAGGCTGAGTTTAAAGATGGTGGACTAATTAATCTTTTGGAGGAAATTTCAAGACTGCATAGCTCATTAAAGCTGGGGCATGAATATTGCTGGATGCTTTTAGTCAGATTTACAGTGATAACTGGGAGCAAAAGGTAATGCAGTTTGGGCAGAAATGAAGCCCACTTAAAGCTGGAACTAAGAAGTTGTGGCTGAGCAGATTTGCATCTTAGAAAGAAGCCAAGTAGTTTGCAACAAGAACATAGGAATGACACCTTGAAGACACCTCAGGAATTGGCCAGACCCCTCTCATCATAGTCTTACTTAAATGAGTTTAAAAGTGTAAACTCATTTGCAATAATTTTCTCTGAATGGCCCAGGGGGTCATTTAGGAAGTTGTTTCCCAAGGAAACTGTACTCAGCTATCCAGGCATTCAGAGGCCCCTATACGAATGGGCCAAGTGGACCCAGCTACTGCTGATGCTGGTGGCAGACATCAGCATCATCCACATGATGCTGATTTTGCAGGCATGTGGAAGAGTTGTGAAGTCATAGAGGCTTCCACTGAGATTTGAAAGCAAAGCCTGAGAGACCAGGCAATGTATGAAAGGGTTCAAGTCCCTGTGGGCAGTCCCTGAGAGCAGATATGGGAAGCTGTGAGAATGAATTCTTAGCTGCAGTGGAGATCCCAGGAAGTTAGAGGTGCCAGAACCTGAAATGTCTGTGAGGAAAGCTGGAGGCAATGAGGAGAACCAGCCCAAAAGACTGGCCATGTTGGCTGTTCCCAGTTCTGTTACATTACTATCCTTCCCAGTTTTTGCTGATGTCCACTATATTCTTCAAATTTTGCAAGCCATTATCCTTGCTTCCTCTCACGCTTCACATCCAAATTGTCAGCAAATCTAGTTGGCACTCCCTTCAATATAGCTCAGGAATGTAATTACTTTTTACAACTTCCACTTCTGCTTCTCTGGACCATGCCGCTCTCACCTTTTACCTAGCACTTAGATTCTCCATCATTGCAATAGTCTCCTTAAGGGATCTCCCTGCTTTCATAACTGAGTGACCCTGTGAAAGCCCAAATTAGATGTCATTCCTGCTCACAGTTCTCCAAAGCTTCTTTCTTGTTCAGAGTAAAAGCCAACATCTTTATAATGGGCCATGATCACTTATCCATTCTGATTGTTCACATCTCTTCCTCCTCTTAGTCAAGCTTTCCGTACTGCAGCCACACTACCTCATGTTCCTTTAACACTACCAGTGCAGTGTCTATTCAGGGCTTTCACCCTTGATATT